TGTTTATATGAATGCAATTGTTAGTTGTGAACTTAAGTTGTGAATTAGAGTCACGGCTCTTTTCAGTCAGATTTACTTTTTGATTTATCAGTTATTTGGCTCATTAGTTGGAGTTGTGCAAAGCTGTGCTGGGATTGACATCAAATTACCAGGAGCTAATAAGAATGATGATGTTGTAAATTGTCCCACAACAAAACCATTAAGACCATCACAGCTTTAAAGTGAAGTCGAATACTTTTACCTTTAAGTATGTTGCTTGTAACATTATATATTTCAAACCATGTTATTGCTATTTTTCCCTCCCCTTTGCTCTCTACCTTGTAAGATGCCTTGAAAATGTGTTTCCTCTCGCACAGCAGCCTGTGCCCTTGTACCTGATTTTAGTTTCCAGATAATCGGTCCTGAGAAGCATACAGCTGTGAAATACTGTGTCCATACACATCTAAATTTAGAAGTGTCCCCAAATAACCCGCACAATCTGACCACTGGATACTCCAAACAGCAGGTGGTGGATTAAAAACTTTTACCAAAGCAAGAGAGGTAGAGTGATAGCAGCTGATAGAAAAATGAAGCGGACTAACAAACAAACATTATCCTTTGAGATGTAAAAAAAGTAGAACAACTTAATGACTAGTTCAGCTCAGGGCCTGAAACCCAAAGCAGCACATGAGCATGACGCACTTTTTCTTCAGTATGATTATGAGTTTACTTCCAGCGCAGAGGAAAGATCAATTCCTTTGTCAATGAGAATAAATTAGCTGTGACTGAATGAAACAAATCACACGTGGTCCAAAAGAAACGAAAAAAAGAAAGTTTTAAGGTATTCGAGAATATTAAATGGTGCTTTGACAAAAAAAAAAAAAACGGCGATAACACAACCGAAAACAGGTTCAAACTAAAACACTGTTTAGAAAACATGTATCATATGATGATTATTTTTCGATATCATGTAATAATTGAACTACTGCATGGTTAAGAATAAAATCACATATATATGCCTGACAAGAAAACTGTACTTTTTTAATGTGGTGTTTTATTTCCACGTAATTCTGCAAATAATTTACCCGACATCCCGCTGCAGGGATTGGCTTCTCATCGACCAATGAGGATTGCCAGAGAGCAGGGCAGCTCATCTGCCTGTGGATATAAACCCAGGATCTTGATGAAGTTTTGTCATCGACACGATCACACAGCAACCATGAGGTCTCTGGTCTTCGTTCTGCTCATCGGAGCTGCTTGTAAGTGTCCGATTGTCTTGCTTTCTAATAGAAACCAACTATTCTTATAGATATTATTATTATAGAAAGAACAGAAGACAACAGTTTTTCGTTGCCAACATGTGTTTTCAGTTGCCACGGAGGACGACAAGATCGTCGGAGGGTATGAGTGCACGCCCTACTCCCAGCCCCATCAGGTGTCTCTGAACTCTGGCTACCACTTCTGTGGAGGCTCCCTGGTCAACGAGAACTGGGTTGTGTCTGCTGCTCACTGCTACAAGTCGTACGTCACTCCTTGATGTTATGAAGACAAAGTTTTTCATGCAAGAATCAATGTGTTTTAAACAGCATCATGAAAGTCACATACTAAACAACCCTCTCTCTCCCATGCAGCCGTGTGGAGGTGCGTATGGGCGAGCACCACATCAAGATCAATGAGGGAACCGAGCAGTTCATCAGCTCCGAGCGCGTCATCCGCCACCCCAACTACAGCTCCTACAACATCAACAACGACATCATGCTGATCAAGCTGAGGGAGCCCGCCACCCTCAACCAGTACGTGCAGCCTGTGGCTCTGCCCACCAGCTGTGCCCCCGCTGGCACCATGTGCACAGTCTCTGGTTGGGGCAACACCATGAGCTCCAGTGAGTAATAACTCCTGCATTTTTCTCTCAATGTCTGCAGAGCAACTCTCTCTAAATCTGTCTTGTTCTCCAGCCGCTAACAGAAACGTGCTGCAGTGCCTGGATCTCCCCATCCTGTCTGACAGGGACTGTGAGAACTCCTACCCTGGCATGATCACCCCGGCCATGTTCTGCGCTGGATACCTGGAGGGAGGAAAGGACTCTTGCCAGGTATGAACCTGAATGGTCAGACAGTAGGACTATATGAAATACTTGAAATTACTCATTAAATTTAATCTTCCTGATCTTCTACTTGTGTCAGGGTGACTCCGGTGGCCCCGTCGTGTGCAATGGTGAGCTGCAGGGTGTCGTGTCCTGGGGCTACGGATGTGCTGAGAGGGATCATCCTGGTGTCTACGCCAGGGTAACTGTCCAAAGAGAACTATACTTAATTCACGCACTGCGTCCAGTTCAGCTTCACTCTGAACTTCAGTGAGACACTGATGAACTGATCTAACTCTGATTCTTTATTTTCAGGTCTGCATCTTCATCGACTGGCTGGAGACAACCATGGCCAGCTACTAAGTAACGAAAGCAAAGTTCAGTCGATCAGCTCAACATCAATTGCTGTTCATGCTCCATCTTTTGCACTGGACACTATGACAAATAAAACTATTCAAAGCAGAATATTGACTTTGTTTTGTGCATTAATATCACAGAGGAAACAGTTGTCGAACTCGTCCTTGTTAAAATTGTATTATAGTTCATTGCAATTACAGGAGAGTCAAGTGCAAGTTAGAGATGAATGTCTGGTTCATTTGAAAAAAACTCAAGACTTAGTATCATTGGCAAAGTCCAAGAAATCTTTTTCCTTTTTTATATTTCATAAGAATTATTGACAAACATCACACAACTCAACAGCAAAGTAAATATAACAATTAAAAACCAAACCCAGAAACAGTTTCATACATTTAAAATATTCGTTATAAGCCAATAAACTGGATTGAATGATGAAAAGGACAAAGATATAAGTGAAGTCACAAACACCAAGTGTTTGAGCAAACACCTGTAACGACCTCTCATAACAGCTGATGTTGCAAACCTGGATTCAAAATATATTCTTCAAGAATTTACAATTGATCTAAAATATAATATTGTGATTTGATGCCTCCATTCAATGCTATTTGCTAAAAAACGTACTTCCTGTCAAGTTCCCAGGAGGGAGGGGCTTCAGTGCCTTTGAACCAATTGGACCTCACCTGAACTGATAAGAGGCCTGTGAGGGATCAGGGCCTGTTAAGTGTTTGCTGAAACATGTCCACCTGCTTCTGATGTTTCCAGATGGTGGATCTCATATATTATTTAAGTAAGGTTTTCATATTTGTTACAGTTACTCACTTTTCTTTGTTTAATCCTAAAATTGTGCTTTGATTTGAGTTTGATAGAGTAGCTCTTGTTTACTGAATATTGTATTCACTTGGTTCAAAGCTCGTAAATCAGACAAAGTAGAAAACTGTGCATTTAACTGCCTGAGTTGTGAAGTCATTATTCTGAGTGGTTTGAAGTCTGAATCTGGAAAAACATGAATGCTGTAAACAAAATGAATTATCAATCCATTATTTGTGTGTTTACAGCATTTAAACAACACTTCATTACAATATTTGAGAGCACAGAAAAAGTTTCAGGTGAACTTATGAATGTTAATCATAAAAACATTGTTTGGGGACTTTACACATATATTCTGGGACTGCTCAAAGCTGGAAGAACGTTCAGAAAGAGATTAAACAGATTTTGCGTACTAAACTTGCTCTTGATCCTGAACTTTGAATTAGGCATAAAAAATAAAAAGGTCTGTATTTGTTAAATTAAAGTGGTGTTAGGTGAGACACGCGTTGTGTAAAAGTGTAACATTGGACAGCAAAATTATGTAAGTTGGTTTATAAGTGATGACTTCAGCCAATCAGTTTTCCTCCAGCAGGAATTAATAACTTATTTCTCAAGTTTGTCTGACATACATCTTTGCCCAATGTCAGCTTGGATTGGCTCCAGCTCCAAGTATTTTAGATAATGGATGGACAGATGGACATTTGCTCATATTATCTGAGTGTGGTGTATATTTATTTGTACAGTTTTACACTTCATTTGAAATAAAGTATTCAGAAATGTCTTATACAGTAATAAAGTTGCCTGGGAGCATGTGTATTAGAAGCAGTAACAGTATTGTCAACAAAAATAAACACACTGATGCATCATATAATGGAAGATTTTATTGACTGTGCACTGACGGAACACATCTCTCTCTCTCCTTCTCTTTCTCCCACTGTTTCCTCTCTCTGCTGCTCTCCCCTCTGACACCACCCACCACCACCTCCTGTCTCCTTCGATCTCTCTCTCTCTCTCTGGTCTCCCCTCTCTCATGTAGTTCCGCAATGAGAGATCACAGCCTAGCCGTTGATGGAGAGAATGCTGTCGATCCAGGGAATCAGAGAGCAGACTTTGGTGTAAACGCCCGGGTAGTTAGGCTGAGCGCAGCCCTGGCCCCAAGAAACGATACCATGCAGCTCTCCATTACACACCAGAGGACCACCAGAGTCCCCCTGAGCAGGGGGGAGAGAAAAAATTTAGGTTATTTCTCCCATCATCATGCTCAATTGTTTTTCACTCTACACATTCACAGCCTCATTTAATGTGCTGTGTAATTGTGTGAAAAATACCTGACAAGCATCTTTGCCTCCCTCCAGGTATCCAGCGCACACCATGCGGTCGGTAATCATGCCGGGGTAGGAGCCTTCACATTCCACGTTGGACAGAATGGGGACTTTCACACACTGGAGGTTGAATGGGTTGAACACTGCAGGTAAGAGCAAAAAAGAAAGACAAATGTTGGAGAATAGATTAATCAATTATTCTTACCTTTAGCCATTTTACCCTTAAAGCTAGGCTTGGTAATCCTGGAAGAGAGCAGGCCACAGTGCAACTGATACATCCCACCCCCTCCCATCAGTGCTCTTGTCAAAGCTACGCCCCCAAAACACAAGGACATGCACTGACTGACAACTGCCAGAGGACGACCTTTTAATTAAAAACTAAATATTGATTAAAAAAACAAACAAAAAAACAAAACGTCACATCTCTGTTCCTTGTGTAAGAATCTCAGACGAGTGTCATTATCATGAGCAAAAAGTTTTCACGACTGTCAACATCAGCTACAACTCACCTTGATCAGTGTAGATGTTGCCCCACCCGGACACTGTGCACATGTCCCCGGCCACCGGACAGGCTTTGGGCAGGGCAACAGGCCTGACGTATTCATTCACGGTGACGGGGTGAGCCAACTTCATCAGCATGATGTCGTAGTCCAGGGTGGTGTAGTCGTAACTCTGGTGCCAGTAGATGGCTTCCACCGACATGTACTGCTCCGTGCCCTCGTACATCCAGATGTGGTGGTCACCCACGACTGCAATCTGAGCATAGGGGCTGAAATAGACAATAAATGATCAGAATCACGTAGGTTGTAAAATTCTCCTGAACATTATGGTCACATCAGTGTGACACAAACTTTTGCCAGCAGTGCGCAGCAGAGATGATCCACTGGTCGTTGATGAGGGAGCCGCCACAAAAATGGTAGCCGAGATTGAGAGACACCTGCCAGGGTTGGGAGTGTTGTGCACACTCGTAGCCGCCTACAATCCTGTCATCCGTGGGGGCTGCAGCTGTGGTGTTAAGAAAATGTAAAATACTTCATGTTTCACAGATTTCAAATTCATTTTTATTCTAAAAACTTCAGCTGAGCTTTACCTGCAGCTCCCAAGAGTGCGAGAACAATCAGGCCAATCATCTTGTGGCTGCCTCGAGCCTTCCTACGATCAGACTGGACGTGAATCATTTGTTACTCACTGCATTTATACTTTAACCCATCTGTGACTTTCATGCACCCCCCCAAACTCCTCTCACCTTTTTTCCTCCACCCACCTTCAAATCTCTTTTCTCTCCTGCCTCCGTTCCTGCCCCGTGAAATAACCTTGTCTTTGTATGTGCCATGTTAATCCTGCTGATGTAAGAGCTGAAATGTTTTTGGCCTTGAGTTTTTTGCCGTTTGTCACCTTTTATAAATGTGACTCTGTATATACAATGGGACAGGAGAGGCTCATAATTGCAAGAAAAAGTCATATAATAAGCTTTGAACAAGGAAGTGTCGATTGTACACTTGGCCTATGAATTAAAAAAACATATAGGATTTTTGATGAACAGTGATAATGACATGACCCATGCAGTAAATGTAAATGCAGGTAAGGGATATCAGTATTTAGTTTCCATATAAGTAAAAGAAACACCAGGAACTCTATATTATTATTCTTATTTGAATTATTTGAGAACACCTTTTCTTCAGCATCCTTATTTTTTATTTATCTGACAGATTTAGGTCCATCTTTTTTTTTTTTAATCAAATGCCACAGTAAATTATTGCAACTCGTGTGTCACTGTGTACAGCAGAATGACTTCATCTGCTCTAAAGATGTTAAACTTGTCTATGAAAAAACAGCTTGTTATTTTTCTGCCTCTGAGACACCAGATGAGCTCTTTCTCACCTCCCTTATCACATGCCCATGCCCAAGGGCAGCCAAAAGTGTAGTCAAATAACAGCACATGTACTTATCTTGTTTTATATCAACCACCGTGCTTCAACCAAAATGATGATTCACCACACAATTATTGCTGTTACAATAAAAAGGTGGCACAAGCTCGTACAATTGTTTTCTCACTTTGTATATGTATGTATTGCCACATTTCTTAATGAGGGTCACAGATGACACAACCGCAGGGGGTGTACTGCCACATGGCAGAATTGGGCAAACAAGATAATACAGGAGCTTGGTAAGAGAGCAGATTTGGTTTGATGCCCAGTGCCGGGCGATAAGAACAGGGGAGTGTGAGGACACAGATGTGGTCGACGGAAAGAGGGAGGTGGCGGGTGTGGGGGGGGGGGGGTCAGCAGTGGAGTGGGTGAGGTTGAGTGCGTTGGGGCTGATGGGATATAAATGTGAGCTGGGGTGTGTCTGAGTGTCTTCTGATCATTCACCAGACACCATGAGACTGCTGGCTCTGCTGCTGATGGTCGGGGCTGCTGGTAACACAAACACACACATTCACTAAGACGCATTCACGCAAATAAACACATAGGAGAACACACACACATGCACAGCTGTATATTTCTTTACTCGTGAAACATTCTGAATATATGTTGGTAAGTTGCGGACAATGAATTTGAAACATGAATCTTTGTCATGTCGCTCTTCGTTTTCATCCACTGTGTATGTGTCTGTGTGTGTCTGTGTGTGTGTGTTACAGTGGCAGTTCCCCGTGAGGATGGACGCATCGTTGGTGGACAGGAGTGTGAGCCTCACTCTCGCCCTTACATGGCCTCCCTCAACTATGGCTACCACTTCTGTGGCGGGGTGCTCATCAACAAGCAGTGGGTGCTGTCGGTTGCCCACTGTTGGTACAAGTAAGCACACATGGCTGGAGAATTACATCACATATCATTACATTATTTTCTCTTGTTGCCAAGTTCTTTTTCAAAATCACTCTCACGCTCGCTTTGCTTGATTTTTATGTATTTTTCCCTTTGAGGTAGAACCAAAAACCTCCATAGGTGTAAAATCAATGATTTATCAGTTCAGGAGAGCATGTGCGGAATAGTATTAGCAAAAGAAAAAATTTAATTGATGTAGATACATTATGCACAAAAGTGTTTCCTGCTCCCACATATTTGACCTCTTGTTTCAGTCCCTATTACATGCAGGTCATGCTGGGAGAACATGACTTGCGAGTGTTTGAGGGCACTGAGCAGCTCATGAAGACCAACACTATCGTCTGGCATCCTAAGTGAGTGAAGAACTTAACCACCCGGCCTTTTCTTTTTCATTTTGCTTGATTTAATGATCCCTTTTATACATTTCTCTCCATCTGCAGTTATGACTACCAGACTCTGGATTATGACATCATGCTGATCAAGCTCTTCCACCCTGTGGAGGTGACCGGGGCGGTCGCACCCATCTCTCTGCCTGCAGGCTGTCCAATGGGGGGGCTCCCCTGCTCTGTGTCTGGCTGGGGAAACACTGCCCTGGATGGAGATCGTACGTTTCCAATAGTCATTTTAATCATGGAATACAATCTGACTGAAAAATAATGTCGTCTATGTGTTGCTTTTAAGAAATTAATTCAGTCAACGGGTCAATTTGTTGTAGAGGAAAGTAATTTAATCAAGTAAGGAAGTACAATATTGTGGTGCTTATTGGTTTTCGGTGTTTTTGTGTGTGATTTGTTGACTAATATATATCCTGTAAAATGTCTCTGTGTTCTGCGAGTAGCAGTGAACCTGCCCATCCGTCTGCAGTGTTTGGACGTGCCCATAGTTGATGACGCGCAATGTAAGAACTCCTATCCTGGAATGATCACACAGAGGATGATGTGTGCCGGATACATGGATGGAGGCAGAGATGTGTGCAACGTGAGTTTCACCAAGGTTGTACTGGACTCAAATCTCTGTATGTGCAGGAGAATTCATCATTTTGTATCTACACCGTTTGTCAGGGCGACTCCGGCAGCCCTCTGGTGTGTGATGGAGAAGTCCAAGGCCTGGTGTCATGGGGTCGGGGATGTGCCAATGCTAACTACCCCGGCGTCTACGTCAAGTTGTGCGAGTTCCTGTCCTGGATTGAAGACACGCTGGCAGCCAACCCCTGAAGAAAGAAAGTTTTCCCTCCTTGCTTCTTCCATTTCCTTTCCTCTGTTCCTCACCCATTCCTATTTTCAGCCCTCACTTTTATTTTACTTCTCTTTCTCTGGTGACTTGTCTCCTCCCCCAGATCGAGACTCAGCACACATGTGCCGGAACATAAAAAACACAATAAAACCACTTGGTGTTCACTGTCATTTCTGTTCATATTTACATGTCAAAGTAAGAGAGGAAAAAATGAAACCACACAGAAACGAAGTATGTATCAGTTGCAAGTTTATTTGTTTGGTTTTAGTACCATATATGGTTTTTTGATTGATTTACTTACATAAATTATAAGAACACAATCATTTTACAGTTCAAAAGATGAGGTAGCATATTTCTAATGTTTCACATGTTGACTCTTGTTTCCTTTTTGTGTCCAGATATTTACATTTTCAAATATCAAGCCTTTCATTAGTTTTGATAATTGGATTGTATCTCTAAAAATACTTTAATTATGACGACAAGAGAAGTGTGTGACTTTATTTATGAATCGGTGCTGAACCTACTCTGGAGATAATGGCAGTGAGATTATTAAACAGCAGGAGGCCTCAGTGGACAAGGTTTCAGTCGTACCATGCAACACACACACTCTTGTTTCCTCGTCTCCATGTTGCTCTCGTTTTATTTAGAGTCTTTGTCAGGATGACATTGTTCTCGTCATATCACCGAGGCCAAGTTGATCTTTTCTGGGACCAATTCTCCTTCTTCTCTCTTTGACTTGGTTGGAGGGTCCGAACCATGCGGCAGCACCTACACACAAACAAAGATGTTTTTACAATTCACACAAAGCCAAAAAGAAATATTGATATAGTTGTATTCAACAATCTTCAGATTCTCCGGCTCTAATGTAAAAATCCTCACATTTCATTTTTTAATGAGAATACATTTAAAAAAGCAACTACTCATTGCATTTCATTATAACTTGTCAAAGTAGTAAGTTTGGAGGTGTCACAAACAACATTAGTACCTGTCACACTGCACTGCAATAATGGCAAGAATGAAGCCATTAGTACCAAGATACATGTGAGGCTATTAGGATCCTGGTCAACAAGATACATTCCAGAAGCATAATTACAGTGGGGGTATAAGATGAGTAGACCACTACACATGAAGCTAACGCTGCAATCAAATACATTTCTGTGGTGTATGCTGAATTCTTTTCATTGGATTCCAACGAGACGCATGACAGAAAAGTCATCGCTTACATTGTTGGGTGTGTTTTCCCACCACCAAGGTTGTTTTGTTCCCTGTCCATTTGTTTGTTTGTCAGCTGGACCAGGCAAAAACCTCTAAAATGGATTTGCAGAAAACTCTGTGGAAGAGTAAGACATGGGCCAAGGAAGAAACCACTACATTTTGGGGTGGATCCAGACAAAGGAGTGAATTATTGGGCACATTTAGAGGTATGATATCTGTGATCAGATCTTCTGCCCTTTGTGGAATAACGTCACCTAAATTTTGCATCATGTGCACCGGTCAGGATTCAGTCCTAACTTACTGTTGCTACCTCCCCGGTACGAAGACGCCGTCCCCTCTGTAAGGTGCTCAGCGCTGAAAAGCAACATAAGCCAACATGGTGAATTATGAGCAACGTAATCAGCTTGATCGAGTTTACTGATGAGTTTTAAAAGAAACAGGCTCAGGTGGAAAATACTGGTTTAATGCAGCCAGTCTCCATGGAGACTGCTGTCAATTACCTGTGGGAGAGTGATTGTGGTATAGGCAACCTCAGGCCGCCAGAGTCGTCATCGTGCTCTCTGCTGTGTGACTCCTCCTGACTCCTTCATGGAAAGTATGCAACAAATTTTAATTTTATTTCACATTTCATACTCCTCTTATGTTTGTTAGTCTTTATTAATCTAACAACATGTCTCCACGTCTTCTTAGCAGTGCAAAAACAGAATAAGAAAATTAGGAAATGAACTGAACATAAATCAGCAATAACACCTGGATTCTTAGGAATGACCTCTCTGCCTCACTATTAGCTGTAGCACTGATATTTCTGAATTTCTGAGTATAATAGGAATTAACAGGAAAGTTAGTGGCACAGTCCAGAATTTGATGCCAGGTTACTTTTTTAAAACAAGTAACTTTTATTATTTCCTTAGTATGTAAACAAATCAATAAATTAAGATGCAATTCATCAACACACCCATATGCCTTAACAAGCACTCCACTGAAACTTTACCTCATAGACAATATAAACATTCACATGTTGACTATAAATAAAAGTAACATGTCATGATCATCATTTGTAAAGTCTCAGCATCATGTCAAAATTGAAACTCCTTCTTGTGCACATGTGGACAAAAGATCAACGTGTCACCTGCTTGTTGCTTGTTGTTTGCGTCTCCTCTGTGCTTCACTGACATCGTGAGCCTGAACAAGAGAGAGGAAACACGTCAGGCACCAGCCACCACTACACACAGTTGGCCAGTCTGTGCATGAATGAATGTGTGGGGGGTGTTTGGTCATCACCTTGGTTTTTGGTGTCTGGGGCTGACTGGTGGGATTTGAAGAGCGTGGGGTCTTGATGTTTTTGGGAGGCAGAGATGGAGCGCAGAGGTGGGAGCTGGGCACCTGGTAATCAAAACTTGAGAGCTGTTGGTATGAGGGAGACAAAGTGAAGTAGGCAGTCAGTGAGTGTTACTGCTCTAACTTTAGTTTCTTCTTCATTGTAGGACATGACTTAGAAGAGACAGAAGGAAACTAGGAGGTTGGATGAAGATGCAATTTTAATTTGAAGCTAAAATTCAGCTACACTGAACAAACAAACAGAAACCTATTCACAAACCTTCCTCAAGGCAGCCATTTCTTTTACCACAAGTTCAATGTCCTCATGGTCCTCCTCTTCCTCGTCCTCAGCATCATCCTCACTCTCCTCCTCGCGGTGACAACTGCTTGGCAGGTAGGGCTCGATGAGAATGGATTCAGTCCCTCTGATGTCGCAGCGACAGTATGGACAGGTGTTGCCCGCTGACTTTTTCTAGATAGTTATGAAAGACAGGACACCGGCAGAGTCACGGAAACACCCAAAAAAAAGAGCAGCCAGTTTTCTGAAAGATGAAGAAGGTGGAAAATATCACGTTTGAGTCGATGCATACATTTATTTGCATAAATTTTGCATAAATCAAAACCAGATAAAAGTGAATTGAGCAATTTATTTTTCTTTCTTTTCATGAATTCTTTGTGCTTAATGTTGCTGAATATTATTGCATTTTTTTGTTATTCACTTTTCAAATGCAGTTTGTCTATGTTGTTTTTCCAGAATGCTCCCCACTTCCCACATCAATTCCTTATTTTACACTTTAGCACTGATAAAGCTGCAGTTTGGACGACTGTTATATGGCCCGATTCAAACATTTTCACCTGTGTTTACCAAATTGCTTTAAAAATCCTGTAATACAACATTTATTTAAGTGGATGCATTCTGTTACTCAGCTGCAAGTGCCTTTGAAATCATAATTACATTACTTTCACATCAGAGTCACGGTTATCTCTCCTTTCAAGAGGGGGACATTAGGACCCAGATGCAATTTGCTCAGGCAAGATGAGGGCAGCTATAAACCACCACATGGAGCACAGGTGAGTCTCTTTCATTCCTGTGATCACCAAACAAAGGCTTTGGTCATTTGTGATTCTGTTATAATCTGGTTGTTTTGTGTAAATAGTGACACTGTTGAGTTTATATGACATTCGAATAACAAAATGTGGATCTGCCAGCAATTTGTTCCTTTTGTAAGGGTCCTAACAGCCTAGCAGTAAGTGGCAAGGTATGATGCCTGTTCCCTATTTGAAGTGTTTTTACCTAACGAAGACCAACATGTTTTTGATTCACAGGCAAAGTGCTGATTATTGTTTAGCTTGTTTTATGTTGCATTGGTTTCAGTTGATGTTATTGACCCTGATTATTTAATGAAACAGCTTGACTGGCGTTTTGATCCACACTCACTGTTGGCTTCCTCATCGAAGTTCACCCGCATTTGTGTTAAATCCTATAACAGAGGTTAACAGGTCATTGTATTTTAACCATGTGAACTTTTCTTGGCTTTTCCATTGCAGACAGATGTCAGCAAAGCATCTGATTTCCTCTTTATGCCTCCCACACACTTTTTTTTTTATCAGAGTGAAGGTGCTGACAGTTAAAAGAGGATGTGAGCCTGCAGCTCACGCAGGAAGTCCTCAGCCAAATGTCAGGACACTCTGCTCTGCACCTTTGCAGAGACATGAACACCTCCTGAATAAAACAGAGGCCACTGGATTGTAGTTGACCACAATGCTGTAATGTGCTGGTAGCTTTCCGAGGGCATGTCTTAAATGTCACCAAAAGAGGAAGCAGGAAGTTGGGAAGAACCCATTGCAGAATGTGAGTCAATTGAGATTTGTTCTTTATCTAATGTAACTGGTTTCATTAAAATACTGCTTATATTTATCTACCCATTGTCAGTCTGATAGCAGCTAGTCTGATCATGCATAATACTGATCATCCCAAAAAACATAAAAGTGTACTGGAGTCAAGAGGTCTTTTTATGTATTGGATATTTCTTAAATGTGTTTTTCCACTGATGACTAATGCAAATTAATTCATGGAAAAAAACTGTGGGAAATGAATCTGTTCCCATGGTCTAACAAAAGCAGTGTAGCAGTTCCACTATCACTTTGAATTAATCAATATGAAGTGATTTTTGCACTTTTATGAACATTCTGCTCAGACAAAAGAGCTTTCTCAACTACATTTTAACACAACAATGTGCATGAACAGAAATGTTGTTTTACAGTGTTTTCCCATACAAACTATTTCACTAATCTAAACTCAAATCTGTGTTGTAACAGTAGCTGAAAAACAGCATGAGTTAGTAGTGATGGTGGGTTTCATACCTGCCAGCCTGTGAGGCAGGGTTGGCACAGGAGATGCCCACAGGGTTGAATGCGAGTGTCCTTATCCTTCTCTGCACAGATCTTACACAACTGGAAGGTGCTGCCCATCTCACAATAAAGCTCGTACTGCTCCTGTTGGGTGTTGCAGTGGTGGTTAGTCAGAGATGAGGACCAAAACATTATCTCAGGAAATGATCTATGTCTTGTCTTGGTGCAGCTTCAAGATGCTGCTGGCACTCCACTGTGACGCTGATAAAGAGGTCCAAAGTGCATCCGCTTACTTCTGTGACTCTGACTTTGCTCCTCTGGGATGGTTCACACAAGCTCGTCAGGTCGGGGTTCACTTCACGGCCATCAGGGTACAGGTAGCTGCAGGCACACACACACACAGCACTGAGAGGAAACACTCAAACAAATGGACAATAATTCAGAGATCAGTGTGCGCATGTTTCTGACCAGCCCTCACTGAAGCCTTCAATGAGCGCCAGATAGAGAGGTGTATTCTCTGGGATGGTCTGGATGATGTTGCCGTCAGCGGTCACGTGACCAATAGCCCACTGGCCCATTCTTGTGCAGCTTAGTCGGAAGATGTAGCTGAGAGAGAAAGGTCCTCGTTAATCAGGTGGCATAAACATTTAGAAGTTCCAGTTTACAGATAAGTTGCTTGAATATCACTTAACAAATACTCTCAGTATTTATTATTATTGTGTATTCATTTGATCGATTAACTCAAAAAATCTGCTTAAACCATTTGAAGTAGATACATTTAATAAATGAATGATCCACTTTTTGAATTACTGTACTTAACGTTGCTCGAGTGGTTCTTTTACTTCAAGGACCTCATTTTTTACGACTGGGATCAGTTTCCAGATTTGATGTAACTCAAGTATCCATCAAACCTCAACAGTGCTAAATGAGATACTGATGTAGAGCAACACGCTTTTCTGAGCCGTGCATTTGAGTTGTTTGCGGTGCACGTCGGTACCTTCCAGGCCTGTGCAGGTAGTGCTCCAGACGAGCTACAACCTGGTCGTAGGTGAGGAAAGCCATGTAGCCTGGATGAGTCACTGCTAGTTGGTTCCAGTTCCTTAAAAGTGACTTCCAGGGCTGCGAGTGGAGAAAAATACTCAGGATGAGAGAATCGTTTTTGCCCCAAATATATTTATTTCTTTTGCTCTTGTTTTCACTATTTGGCAAAATTTTAGTTTTATATTTATTTTAGGTAGGTAGGTATTTTCAGATGTTTGGTCTGTTGGTTATTTGATGCTATAAAAAATGGGGTCAATGGTCATGATTGACAACTGAGACTGACTCCCCATTGGATTAGTCGGTGTATGGGCAGGACGTTTTGGTGCAAGATGGCAGTTTCATTTCTCGATATCTGGAGGAAATGGAGACTGGTCTCTGCTCTGGTAGCAACCAAGTCATAGTCTGACATTTAACATCCATAAAGGAGGAAATGACACACTAGGGTTTGGATCAAGAAAATGATGAGCAATGTGAGCTTTCAGGGAGCTGGTATGTTGATTTTGTTACCTTTGGCCAGAAAGAGGCTGGCAGTTTCCTGTTGTTTCCAGTATTTATGCTAAGCTAAGCTGACCTGCTGTGTGGTAGATTCATATTTACTGTATTGTTTGGGAAAGAGTCTTCTCAACTAACTCTCACCAAGCAGATTATCACGTTTCCAATATTTAAATAATTAATTTATACCTTTGTAAAATAGGAATTGTTGACCTCACCTGAAACAGTCTGGTGAAGATGTCAAACTCAAACACAGAGATGTAGTCATTACAGGTGAGATCAATGGTTGATTTGAGCGCCATGGACTCCATCCCTTCCTTAAACGTATGCACACTCCGCAGCTGCTCTTTAAAGCTGTTCCACTGAACTACACACCTGCCACAATACACCGAGTGGACACAGAAAATCCAAAAAACTAAATGTGGGGAAAAAAAGTCACAGCATTTTGCGTTGTGTTGGAAATTCTACACACTCACTTGTTGCCAAACGAATGCCACCAAAACTTCTCGGCCTCTGTCTTAGTCACCTTGTAGGTGTCACCCTGAAAAGATCCATCTGGAAACATGGCCCTCATCTCCCACAGCATGTGACTGAACAGCAGAGACAGTTTGGTCAAGTTTCTCCTAGGAATGAAACGCAGCAGACTTTCAGTTGTGTTTCTAAATAGAAATAGATAGTGGGCATGAAAATGACAGAAATAACCCACATCCCACTCACTTCCCTATGACATAAAGACCATGTAAAATCCATTCATGTCACGTTACATATGTTTTTAAATGTAAATGATAATGTAATGCTATGTCCTTGTGCTCTATTTATCCCCCAATTCACATTGTATCTCCACTAATATTTTAAAATAAAATAAAATACATGTTTCAATATATTTCTGTGACAAATTAATCAGTTTGTGTGTGTGTGTGTGTGTTTTAGAGGAGACAGAATACTTGAAGATTGAATATTATATTGTTTCATTTGAGAAAGCGATGACAATACTTTCCACACACACACTCACAAACAGGATGCTCTGTGCCGCACACTCTGCTTGTCACCACAAAATGTTCCAGTGGCCAGTATGTCCCCTCAGACCAGTATTTATTCTTAAGCCTCAGTTCTCTTTCAAGGCTCTTTTTCTAACTCTTGTTTGATGGTATCTAGAGTCGAGTAATCTGCACAGACAACACTATGTTTCTGTTCTCTTCTGTGTCCGAGATCTCACTGCGTATTTGCTTGAACGGTGGAATTGTACTAGAGAAGTTTCAGATATTCACTTATTAAATATCTGTCAATGACAAAAGTTGAATCGCAATTTTAGGCTGCAGAGCCGAGAAATGCTGTGGTGAAATGAATTTATCTATGGAAGTATTGTACTTACATTTGAGGTAGCTCAAGTATTTTAAAGATATTTAGTACCACTTAATGCTTCTACTTACATTTTAGAGAGACAATATTGTACTTTTTACTCCATCCTTATGTCATTAATTAAACTGTGGATATACAGAATTACATGTGTTCTGTATATTAATATGTCTCTCAGGTGGGCCCTCATGTTTTATACTTTTAATTATTACAGTATTTTTAGAGTGCGGTATTACTACTTTTATTTGTGTGGACACTTCCTCCACAATGAAGAATGTTATTGATTGATTGCATTGACAATTGTGTTTTTTTATGTATTGTTTAGCACACAAGTATCTTTGCACACGTAAAAGAGTTTGCACATTTGCATGAACATTTCTTAAATTCCAGTCAGAGGCAAAACTCTCCCAGCTGCTAAACCTCCCACTGTCAAGTGTGACGTCTCTGCCATCAGTCGGGTCTCACTTCTGTTTTTAGCCTTACATCACAGCCGAGCAAAAATTCCACTTATTTAAGAACGATTATTGTTTCTACTATTTAACAGTCAGGGTTTTACACAACAAGCCGAGCTCCTGCAGCCGAGCCACAAAAATAAAAACATTTCAACGCAACAAACAGGACATTTAGAATTTAAAAATAGAATATTTACACAATTTGCCTTGACGTCTACTCCACATTTTACATAACACATTGTGAATTTGCCACATGACTGCCCATGCAGACATGGCTGCAGTGAGGAGGCCATCTGTTCCCTTATGTGTGCAGAGAATTCTTCAAGATGATAAATAAATCTTTTAAAATTGGCTTTCTGATTGGAAGAAAATATGTGATAAAAGCGATATATGGATGGATGGATTGATAAACAGATACTAGACAATTTCTCCTGAGCTGCTCACATTCAGATGAAATACTGCTGCTGTTGTTTCTACTTTGCTCACATTAGCATCACAAAGACGGGGGTTTGGCTCCAGTTCCACCTTCATTATTAGTCCCAACAGGATCACGGCCCGAACACTAAAACTAATAGGTGACTCTATACAGCTTCTCCAAAACATCCACTTTAGCTAAAGAATGTGCTCATAATTATTGTTTATCCTCTGGGGGAGTTAAAAACCTTGAACATAACAGCTGCGTAGTTTCTCGTACTTTGTTAAGAACATGTTGAAAGGCCCTGGTCCTACCGGTCTACATGAAGATTAAAGGGCTGTGTGTCCTCCGTTAGAACCGATAATCTGCTTATTTGTCTTTCAGAAAGTTTGCATACAGAGAGGAATTTGAGCAGGAAAAGATGATATTTATGATCTGAGAAGATGATGAAAGAAAACGGGGACTATAGCACAAGCGCCTCTTTTAGATCGATGACACTGATATTTGGCCAAACACACATCTGCTCAGGTTGTGAGGTCTTAGATATTTGATTTGTTTGAATGAAATTTCAGTGATGAAGCACACAGGATTAAAAAAATTAATTTAGAAAACTTTCAAAAGCATGATGGATTATCCATAGGAGCAGTTTTTATCAGGTCTGTGTGATCTGTAGAAAATCCAGAGTGACACACAATTTAGTTTTTTAATGCTGTGAGCCTCACATATACAATTCCTTTCAGGCTCTCCGTTGTCCGTGATCATATCTTAAACATTTAGCAAAAAACTAACTTTTTAAAAATTGTTATTATATATATTTATTTTTTAAATTTAATTTAATTTTGTTCTATCAATTCATTGTTTCAACTAAACGAGTTTAAAAAATGAGAGTGGACCACGATCATGAATGAATGAATGAATGAAGCAAATTATTTGTATCAAAGAGTTAAATATTGACTTATTGTAAGTCGCTTTGGACAAAAGCGTCTGCTAAATGCCCTAAATGTAAATGTAAATGTTTTGCATTTTGGAAAAAAGCATTTTCAGAAAGGAAATAAAGAACCAAATATTTCAAAAGCAAACTCTCTCTAAAGTGGATGTTTTGGCTTCCTTGTACTGTATGTGTCTGGATGTGTAGGCATCAGCCAGGAGCCCTTTTACCTGTGACTGGATGTCTCCTCAAATATCTTCTCCCGTCCTTCTTTGAACAGCAGCACGGCCCTGTCTGTCTTATCCAGCAGGTTTCTGACATGGACCCTCAGGTAGCTGGCCTCGTCTCCCCTGGGCACTTGTCTGTCTGTGGCCTTAAACCCAATGTAGGGCTCCCAAACCTGCGTGAGCAGCGCTGTCGTCTCAGATACCAGCTCGGGCAGGTACGGTGGACTGTTCTTTAGGCCCAGGCGGGGGTTCATGCTCAGCTCGTGGAGTTTCTCCAATCTTTTGAGGGTCTTGTCCACCAGCCACCGGTCCTCGCTTGTAGGGAGCTGGGAGCTTGAACCTGCTGCTGCCGCCATCACGTCTCTGTTGGGTGTGAGGGATGTGAACCTTACACTACTTTAAATGTCAATCTGTCCTTGTGCATGAATGGACTACTGCGCTAAGAGGAGTTCAATGTCTCAGAGACTGAATGTTTTTGGTCCTTAAAATGATTTCTATCAGTTCTCTGCTTCATTTGAAAAGCCCATATCTAAGCCTCCTCAGAAAGCAGCCATCCTTCATCCATATCATGATAACCCAACGACTCTACATCCAGCAGCGGTGGACATGTGCAGCATTCAAAGATGAGGACGTCCACTGCGTGTCTCTTCACACTCCTCAAGCTCTGTCACAGTGCAACTATGAGAGAGAGTGAACAAACAACAAAGGAATGGATGACAACAAAGAACCCTTGAAACAGTTTCCACTTTTATCCTTCTCACTCGCTCCACTCTCCTAACTCCACATATTCAGCCTCTCTTGCCCATAATAACACAGCACTAACCTCCTCACTAAGATCCATGCATATGTCACAGCAGCCCCACATTCTCAGGGTCATCTACTCACGAAGCAACGGAAACATGATCTCTGTCATGTCCTCAAACGCTGCTGTTTGTTCTCCCTCTCTCAGTCTTGATGTCACACCCTCTCTCCTTTCGCAGCAGCGCTTGATTGGTTTCCTGGTTTCAGGCAGATAAACAGGTTTGCTGCTTTGCTCTACTTCACAGACAGGCAAACAGAGAGAGAGAGAAAGAGAGAGAGAGAGGAGGGGGAAGACACAGAGGTGTGGACTATAAACTAAACATCTGCTGAGAATGAAAGTAAAAAGCTGCCAGGCTGGAGTAACAGACAGGTACACTACGTTTTAACAGACAGGGAAATAAAAGACAAAGGTCAAAGTTCAGCAACTGAAAGAGCTTCTATAAAAAGACTCCTCATCTCTAACCAACTGTCAGCAGGGAGCAGTGTTTGCTGGGTAATTAAATGGATTGAGTTGGCTTTTCATCTGAAGCTGACATGAAATGTTGCATGTTATTTTCAGCCGGCGGCATTAATGTCAACCTGTCAACTTGTCCATACTGAAGTAGTTTTATTGCATTGAATTAATGGTTCCCAGTAATTACACTGTTGATCCCCTGACTTTTCTCCACAGCTCCCATGAGGATGATGCTTGTGGTTTTCAGTAAAAACTGTGGGGAGGATTATTGGGTAAATACACACATTGATGTCCCCTCAGCATGCAAATGTCCTCACTTCTGTGCTTCTTGCACTTTTCCTTTAGCGCCATCATCAGGACAAATGCAACATTTGTCATGGTGAAACAAAACACAGACAAGTAGCAAAATCGTAGAAGGTGAATTTTAGAAGGTGAAACCAGCAACTTTCAGAATTTATGGTCAAACACGCAAATCAAATATTAAATGAGCAAAACTGTTCAACACGATGTTTTACCTTTCTGAAATAACTCATTAGTAGATATTCTGACATGAGCTTTCACTTATCGGCCAGCTGCTTTTCCAGACTTCTCTCTTTTAGGTGCACGAAGACTCCGGACTAAAATGTTGGATGTAGTCAAAGATTTCAACATTTTTCTTTTGGCATCAAAAAGTGAAACTTTTTACAACCCTAATATTTTTGTTGATGACTTTAAATGCAAAAGTACTGACATTGTATTTACTTCACTTGGACTTGGATCATATTAGCATTGTAAACTGCTGCACTCGAAATAAATGAGTTGCATTTATGAGGAGAGAAAGACACTTTTTACCCACATTAGAGTTGTCACTCCAATCTGATGATCATCATTGGTGCATTTAAATTTACCAAACATCAAGCATGGATTGAAAATACGCTGAAATTCCTCAGCAAGGCCTCTTGTTAGATTTGGTGCATTCTGATGTAGCAGCCCTGCCACCGACTCAGGTGAAACAGGAGTAGATGTTCAAATGTACGTTTGCTAATATTGATTTGTGTCTAAAAGTAATGAGTTCAAATTGATTCTTTCTTTGAGAGTCTACTTGCACCTGTGCTCTTTTGGCACAAGGGGGCCTCAGTTCATTGTTTTGTATGCAGACAGACCTCATTTGTGCCACTGATGACTTTCGTTATCCAGCACTGCCTCTAAATATTAAAGGTCAATGTGGTCTCTCTTTCTGTGTACATATATTGTCTCATAGATCATTAAACCTCAGTCGGTGTCTCATTCATTCAGCAGTCAGCTGTGTCCAATGTTCAGGATGTGGCCTGTGTTATTCACACACAATGATACTTTATCGCCAGAGGAGACAATGATGGTTGAGTGCCCTGACAGCTGCACAGTATGTTTGTGTAGTGTCAGGGTGTTTTGGGGACTTTAGACACCGAGCCTGACTTTCCGTTGCCTGCTCCACACTTCAGTGGAAACAGGAAAGTCCCAAATTGACCCAGGTAATAAGAGCCTGGTCTGAGGACGAAGAAGGATATGATTCAAGGCATGGAGAGGAGGTGTGATTTGTGTGTGTGCATAATGCAAGTTTGTGCATGCCCATTTATCTTTTGTATGATTGTGATCAGGTTAGATTGCCACATGCTGGATTGTGACATGGCATCAACTGATGAGTGGCTCAGTTTTGATCTTCTCTGAATTTTCCCTTTAATCTGCAGCAGCAAATCATTAACCTGAGAAAACAGAGGAACTCACACTAATCTAATCGAGACGTGTGCATCTGACCTAGTGCAACTTGCAAAATCTTCTTCCTCCGAACTACAGACTTATAAACATCCTGGATGTAAACTTCAGTCTTACTTGAGCTTCATAGTGTTTACCTACTGTGTGGTGAGTTCACATATTAGCAGAAATAAAAAAAAGAGTTGGAAACTTTGTGAGAACAATGGGTTTTTACTAGAAAGCTGCCACAATCAGCTGAACCACAACTGGGACAAAATGATTTCTAATGGGATCAGAAAAAGTGGATTCTTGTTTTGATTTTTTGTTTTTGGACTCAGGTGTGAAAACTGTGTCCACTTGAGGCACTAAAACCTTCAGTCAGAATAACACTGAAATCCCTTTTACACTTTTTAAATAGTTGTGTTATATTAATCACGTAAAATGCATGTTTCCATGGCACAATACAGTTCTACACATTTCGTGTTGGAAAAGTCACTTTTACTTAATGGCAACTGTCATGTTGTATTTTTGCAAAGACTACACTTCACATTAAGCGGCAACTTTGATTAGTGGAGTCATGTTTTACCTGCGAAAGACATTAAAGTTGTCATATTGTCACTTTAAAGTGAATCTGATCTTTTGCCTTTGTGTTCCTGCTGTATAATCTTAGTTGTCTTTAAGTTTGAGAATAAAAGTTTGAATTGGCACCAAATCTAATAACTGTTAAAAGCTAAGCACCTGTTGAAATAAAAAAAACATCTGAACAAATCCACTGTGAATTCATATGTAGATGTTAAGAAGTTAATCATGCATAAAAACGCAGTTGGTGTAGCAGCTAAAAAAAAAAAAAAACAGTGACCCACATTTAAAGCTATTTTTAAAACATATTCTGTTGATTTGCACTTCAGCTGCATCTTCCCTCCTAAAGTTTCTTGAGAAATTCAGCACGTCTTTTTGAAAAACAGTAAAATGTCAGATAAATCGGAAACGCAGATATTATGATGAATTCAAATCGGTGCTTTCTCTTTTCCTGCCTCACTCAGCATAATTAGAGTGCGACAGTGACTTTGTTTCGGTTTAAAGTCAAAGCGTCACAGTGATGAGCGCAGCTGCAGATCTCTACCTGCAGATGTTACCATAGGTGCGTTACAGGACACGCGCAATCTGCACCAAACTGCCATTGGCTCTTCTTCGAAAATAAAACTGAAGCATAGTGAATCAGTGGATGTGAACACACCAGTGACACAAAAGGAAACAGGGTGATGCTTTGACCATTTGGTTTAATGGAGCAGGGAATTGCGCACGGTTGTGCCACTCTGGATGGACTGATCCCATAACTGTCACTGGGCGTCTCTTCAGTCGCGCTCACCTGAGACCTCTTCGCACCTTGAGTGCTTCACCACCGGTTGATGCCGAGGATCATGACCATGAACGGTCACCACCAATCGGTTGCCACAGCGCCGCTGGATCTGCGCACCACCAACAGAGAGCGCGGGGGCGCCGGGTCCCGGACTCCGGATTGCGGACTGCAGGGACGCTCGCCCGCTCCCCCTGCGTGCACGGGGACGAGCAGCTTGGAAACACGCTGCTCTACCACCGTCAGGAGCGTGGACATCGCAGCTGCTCGCAAACGACCAGCAGACAATTCCTCCCTAAAACTTCCTTTTCGGAAACGGCCGATTCTAGTGGAGCCGGAGACCCAGACTCAGTCAGCGGCTCCTGCAGAGAGCGGAGGGCGCGTCTCCCCTGTGGTGGAAACGGACTCGGTTTTTCGGGAGAGTTTGCCCGGTCGTTTGGATGAACACAGAGTCGCTGCAGCAGCAAGTGAAGAAACGAGGCAGAGTGCAGAGAAATGCCACATGCGCCTTTTGCATCCGATTAATTACAGTGAGTATTTCTACATCCAAGCTTTTAGACACAATATCTTTGAACTGTTTCTTATTGTTAGCCTTTAAAGTTTATTTAAAACTTGTCAACCACCAAGTAATGTTTTTTATTCCATGCGTAAAGTTGTACCAAAACGCACACGTGAATTATTTGCAGTGATTTCTGGGATAATTTGAAGTTGACATTCCTGTTGTTTTAAGAAACAATTACTTTGCATGGCCAAAATTATGATGTGCGGTAAATTCACATACATTAGAGAGACAGTTTAGGTTTCAACAACCTGTGGGACTCTAAAAAATGGATTAGTGGTTCTACCCTAATGCTGCTGATGTGTTGACTCATGCAATAACAGCACACAGCACCCCCCCCCTCCACATTTTTTTGGCCACTATGATGTCGAAAAGTGGAAGACAAAGGCGTCACAATCTCAGCTGATCCAGCAGCCACAGCTGAATCAATGGCAAAGTGTCCAGTCAGCATCTTCTCCAGCCTACTCCTCTCCACTCAGGCCCTGTGAAGAGGAGTAGGCTGAAAGTTACTTATCCAGTTAACCCAGTGAATAGTATGCATACAAAAACCAACATTAAGAGTTGCACACTTCATTATTAGAAAAAATAACTTGTATACGACATCAGTCTTATTCATTTTCTATGCATCAGCAAATGCTGCTTTTTCTGTTTCTGTTTCCTCTGTTCTCAACCTTACATGTCTGTCTCTCTGTTTCCTTTCATGCTCAGGTCATTACCCAGTGTACTACTTACCCACAGTACTGGAGCCCGACCACCCGCTGGCTCACCAAAGAGACAACCTGCTGGCTAGCATCGCTCTGGCTACACATCAAGATGAAGATGGAGACACGTATGTTCATATTTTTCAAAAGTGGCTTAGGTTGAAAATTTGGTCATTCAGTCCATCATATGTGTCATGTTCTAGGTGAATCATTCATCCATCCATTCATCCATCCATCCATCCATCCATCCATCCATCAGATGAGCTTTCTATCAGATTGAGAAGAGTCATTGTGATTCATTGTGTTGATTCATTGTGTTGAGAGCAGACAGACATCTTATGTCCCCCTGTACAGACCAAGACCTTAAACTTGTGATGAACTATTCATGAT